TAATTTAACTCCATCGTTCGTACCGTACCGTTCACTTGCATTTTGAATACCGACAAGCAAGTAAAAAATTAAAAGAAAACAAAGATATATTACTGAGAGGAAAGAAAAAGCTGAACTTAACAAGAAGAGCGCGACCGCTCACCGGTCCGCGCGTTAAAATGATGGTGCTCTATTCAGCGTTTAACGCTTCGTGTATGCACCTTTCAGACGAGGCTTTTTTGTAGACATTATTAAAACATGCTTAAATCATGGAGGAAATATCCTCCATATAGGACACAGTGGCGTAAATTATTATACTGGGTTTTCAGCAAGGGTTCATAGTAAAAATAATTAAATAAATAAATAAAATATCTTAGCATTAGAAAAAAAAAATCTTAAGACGCGATTCGAAATCACGACCTTTGGTGATTCCCTTATTCCCTTAGAACAAATCGCTAACCTGCCGCTCCATCCATGCGGTAATGGCAGTAACCCCTGTTTTGTTTTTAGGTGTTGGAGGAACTCCGGGGTCAAACTCAAAGAACAACACGAACAACAAGAACAACAGCAAAAACAACAAGAACAGCAGTTCGGTTCTGGGATCCGCATTGCGCGGACCCAAAAATGAAAAGAACTGGAAACAGTTCGTATGTTAAATCTACTGCTGTACTCACATCATTTTCATTTTTTTTTTCAAATCTCACAATAAAAAAAAAAAAATTCGACCACGAACCACAGTTCAATCACTGCAACAAGATAAACCAAGTTTGAAAATAAATTACTTGATAGAATAAACTGATTCCGAAAAGTTTCGTAAAAATAAATCTAAAGTGTGAACTTCTAGTCTTCTGAAACCTATAAATTTTCTCAATTGAACATTAAAGCATCGCCAGGACCAAGTACCGTACTCGCGCGAATAAGCGCCCGCGCGCTTAAAATACTTTTGGTTTTTTTTGATATATATAGGCCTATATCTGTCTCTTATACACATCTAGATGTGTATAAGAGACAGATACAAAACATGCTCCTTGTTTGATTCTACACAATCATTCAAGAGAAACCAAACAAACCACATATTTCGGATATGGCAATCAATTAATTGCCTCACTAAAAATGTCATTTACCTCATATATTGTAATATTTGTGGTAAAGAATATGTCGGAGAAAGAAAAAACACTCTCTGTATGAGAATGACACAACATAGATCAGCTATCAGACTGTCTCTTATACACATCTAGATGTGTATAAGAGACAGATATTATACATTGTCTTATACACATCTAGATGTGTAATATATATATATATATATATATATATATGATTATTAATTAACGTAATGTACTAAAAGTGTACAGATTCTTTACTTAAGTTTAAACTGTAGGCACATGTAAATCCAAGATGACCCCGTTCCGAGCCCAAACATGGTAGGGTTTGCACTTACCTTTACCAAAAAGGGATTGGTAATTTCAGAAAATGCTCCTTTTATCGTCTGTAGTCCTTCTTTTCTTCAATAATTTTTGCTAATTTTACTTTAGATAAGTAGTAAATTATAATGTTCAACTTTCGCAGTACAAAACTTGTATATTAATAATGAATAAGGTGGTTTGATGAGCCCACAGATGTTTCTAACTTGCAAATATTCGTAGCGGGAAACATGTCATGTGACCCGGCAGATTGCCAAATGACGGTAAAAGTACTATGAACGAAACAATTTAAAGTAAAAAATGATCAATCGTCTCTTGGCCAATTAACATAAGATTGATATGACAAGAAAGTAAATTATATCAGCTATACTTGACCCTTCACCCCAGGGTTAACAGACGTATGGTTCCCGAGTTATTCCAAAGGGAAGTAAATCGTATACTGAAAAACAAGCTAAAATTGACCTTTTTCCTATACAAAACCATTAGGAGTTGTCAACTTTGAAAGAAAAATGATCACTCAATATTTTACATATGGTAAACACATATATATAATTCCAAAGCTTATAATATCTAGTTTTATAATCCGATCGCCCCAGATTCCTAAAATAATTCAAACAAAAAATATAGACGATTTTGTGAAAAAAGTGGCTCTCGTTTTGACTCGTTTACTGGGTTAAGCTGTGCAGTGAAGCGTTCAGTGAGCAGATGTCCGAAATGCTGTAGACTTGGTTCGGGAGACCCCCCCCCCCCTTTCTAGCAAACCCTCCTCTTTTATGGCGAACCCCTCTTCAAGTTTCCCAAATAAGTCCTCGAACCCAACTAATGCAAACATATATGAAGTCATATTATAGTAGCTCGATGCCTATCAAATAAGTAATAAAAATTCGCCATAATTCGTCAAATATCCGTGGCTTCCAGCCCCCGCCCCTCAGCTAAACGAGGCTTGCCTCGCTCGCCTACTCCCTCCCCTGGACCTGGACCCCCTTGTCGTCCGACTAGGCCGTCGGACCGGAAATAATAATAAAAAAATAATAATTTGCCTATTCATTTGATTGCCAATCCCAAATATTGTGGTTTGAACAAACATTTTAGGACCAACTTATTAAGCCACAAAAACTCTCCCCATGAAACCTAACAGGGATTTTTTTTATTCCGGTTCGTCGTCGACCGAGACTTCGTCGTCGCCTTGGTTCAGACCCTCTTCGTCGGACACGTCGGACCCCTCGTCGGAAAATTTGTGGCGCTACCGCTGTTCCATGTGTAGGCCTTGTACTGTTTACAATTTTTTTTAACTGTGCCAGATACTTTTTTGTTTCATGTAAATCTCTTATGTACGCTGATGACACCACTTTGCTATAGAGTTCATCGGACCCACTAACACTTCAGAATGAATAAAGCATAATCTTGACAAAATTGTTAATTGGTTTAATGAAAATCACCTGACACTAAACATTAAAAAGAATAAACTTATGATTTTTGAAACAACACAGAATATTTCTAAATATAATAATTTGACTGTGAGCTATGACAATAATTTTATTGAAAGAGTTGTTTCTTTTAAATACTTTTTGGGCGTTACTTTTGACCCGCAGCTTAGCCTACTTGGAATAAACACATTGAAACATTAATTTCAAACGTATCTAAAAGAATTGGTGTCATCCGTCATTTGGTGTCATATCAGATATTTGTACCTCAATTTATTCTTAAGATGCTGGCTAAAACTTTGTTTTTTCCTTTTGTAACTGCTCTTGGGCTCGGAGCCAGTTTGGGGTGTAGAGGGCGTCTTTGGTCATTCACACAAACTCGAACAAGGTAACAATGCGACCATCAGTTAAGCAATCTCAACCTTTATTTGTTTCAACTGTGTCTGTTTGACTACCAAATCGGCTGTCCGATCTATTGTTCGGTCCGATCTATTGTTCGGTGACTAAATACAGAAGTACAAATACGAATAATTAATATAAAAAATATAGATAAATAAAATAAGTAAACAAGTAGAAAATGAATCATCGATAGTATCATAAAAATCATGAAGTTACACTCATGTAAATACATTATTGCAATACTGCAAGTAAACAACTGATCATTTAAACCCTTTACAGTAAATTACAAAATGTATTATTAAAACTATTCAATAATGAGAAAACTGACAATGTATAATATCAATACAGTACAATAAACTGTCTCATCTTAATAATTGATTAAATACAGTATATTAAATAACCTTACGTGAATATGACCGCCTTTAGCCTCAAAAACTCATGTTAATCTTCTTAGTTAACATTATCCGTTCTGTAACATAATTAATGTTAAATGAATATAATATGTCATTTACTTTAAACATAACAATATAAAATACATAGGATCATGTACTAAAGTCTTAATTGTGATTACTGAATCATGCAAAACATTGTCACAGATTACTTCAATCATTAATTAATACAATCTGTGTCCGAAAACAAAGAAAGCTCTGGAGAACAAAGAAATCTCCAAAGGAAGTGGCTTCAGATAACAGTAAGTCATAAACCTAGTTGGCCAATCGGCATATAGCATATTACACACGTGAAACATAAATATTCATAGTAAAAGATTCGCTTAGCGTCCCCACGCTAGCGGCAAACTCGAAGACAGTAAATAATTCGTGATAATTATAATACTTATACTATAATTAAAAATTATACTATACTCCCAATTTACTATCCATATACCTGTCTCTTATACACATCTAGATGTGTATAAGAGACAGGTTCGAACCAGCGCCGATATTATGGCTATAGCTTGCGGCGCCCCTGCTAACCGCTCGGCCATTCGATTGGTAACTTTAGAAGCAAAGTTTCATGCGTCTTTCTTAGACCGATACATGCTTACGAGTAACGCGAATTTTCAAAGTTCGCTCCGCCTCACAATGCGCACAAAAAATGGACGATAAGGGCGCGCAGCACTGGAGAGATCTAACACCTTTATTTGATTATTGTTCATGTGTATGGTCAAACTGCTCCATCCAATTGACTAATAGTTTTTTAAACACCTTAGGAAGAATTTTACTTTCTTGTGACATTAGAATACCAATAATTGGTGATATTTTAAGCTCGTTAAACTGGAAGACTGTGAATGACAGATGGAGAGATCAATTATTATTCATAACGTTTAAATGTCTTCAAAGACTTGCACCTTCCTATTTAATTAAGAAATTTAGTTTTTCTCAAAAATGATAAAAATACTCGAAGTCAGACAAATTATCATCTTTTAGTTTTAGTTTAGTGGAACATTTGTCAAGGAAAACAGACCTTTCACTATCGAGCATCCATGAACTGGAACGAACTACCTAGTAACATAACTAGGGATTTCCAGAATTTAAATCAAAATACCTTTAAAAATGCTCTAAAATAAGTAATCTTTCTATTTTGTAATTAAGTCCTTTTTGTTAAAATTTCCTTAATATTTTCCTTTTCATTTTATCACTTTTGTATTTTTATGTTTTTATGTTATAACTGGACCACAACGAAAACCAGTACATTGCATTGAGCGTGCCATTCATCTAGTAATAAAGAAAGTTGAACAAAAGTAGAGGGCTCACTATTACTGGGGACAAATTAATTTGCCTAGCAACCCCCACACACTGTAACAATCATGGCTGACGATTGATTCACTGAGTACAGGTCTACCTGGAGAGAGAAAGACGGACGTCTCAATCGGATAAGAAGGCCGTGCTTGGCTGGGGCCTAGTGTAGCCAGGAATGCTAAATGCCACCTTAATATGTATTCGTTTATATTATAATTAAACAATTGGAAGTTAAGTTTGCATTCATAAAACTTAAAGATGGCTACCACGACGATAATGACAAAACCTGGTTCACAGGTAGGCTGCTCCAGCTAGCTAGGCTAGGCCTTGGGCCAAGCTAGCGCTAGCCTAGGTTAGGGCTGGGCCTAGGCTTGTTGTAGACGGCCTAGTCTATATTTCTTCCTAAGGCCTAGGCTGGGAGCTGTTACTTAGCCTAAACCTAGCCCTTGGCCTAGCCTAGCTCGGTGAATATTTTTTACCTAAATTATATTTTTGTACAAAAATATTTTAATTTGTGTTGCTTGTGTGTGTAGGCTAGTAGTAGGCCTAGGCCTATAGGCTAGGGCCTAGGACAGGTCTATTTGAGTAGTAAAATCCAGGGTTTGCCAGATAGTCGACACGCTTCACGGCCAAACACACGCCATCTCATGGCCAAATTCGGCCAAACTTTTTTTCGATATAGGCCAAAATTCGGCCAGATTTTCATCTGATTAGAACAATTAACAGTGGGTACATATTCATTTGAAATACTACAAAAATTACATGAAAATCAGAGGTCATTCGTTTAAAATTGAAGGAATTCAAATGATATACACAGAACAATGTTAAACTTTCACTGTTAATCTATCACCATAAAATACATGCCCAGCCCAATCATAATATTAAAGAGCCTATGTTCTTTAGTTGCTGGCATGTAGGCCAATTCAGGGGCGAATCCAGAGATGGGGCCGAAAAAGGGGAGGGGAGGGGGCGAAAGTGGCTCCAATCAAGATAACACCATCTTAGAGGAAATTTTTGTTTTCTCCCGAATAACCTGATGCGTTTGAGCGATCAATTCTTTCTTGTTTTCACCTCCCCACCCCCTCCTAAATAAATCCGCTCTTAAAAATCACATTATTAAGTTTGATCTAAATTTGATATAAATGAATTAAATATTAAGGTACATTGTAGTCGATCTATAGCAAAAATTTTAAGGGCCTGTTATTGTCAAATCCATGGCTCTCTTTAATTAAAATGAATTAAGTGACATAGTTAGGTAATACAAACTGGCATTAAAACAACCTCCACTAGGATGGAACATATACAAAGACACACATCACAGTATATGGTAAAAACTTGCATTGAACTGTCTTCATAACGAGGATAAACTTCATACAAAATGATATTTCATCTAAACAATTTACACAATTAAATATAACTGTTATTTTAAAAATAAACTCTCTTACGTCAAATCGGCTAAAGGGGGAACATAGATTAAGTGTTTAGTGCAAGTACAAACAAAGGTACACGATTGAATCAAATATAGAATTTAAGCTATTACAAAAACAACATATCCAAAACAAATCTACGTTATATTAGGCCTATATTGAAAAAAAAATGTAAACTTTTCAAAAATTCGGCCAAATATAGTTTGGCCGTGACTTTTCAAACGTTACGGCCATGCAATTTTTCATACGGCCAGATTTGAGGAATCTGGCCGTCAAAAAGGCCAATTGGCAACCCTGGTAAAATCAATCAATCTATATAAAGGCCTAGGCTAGGAATAGAGGGCGCTTCAGCGGTGATGGACATGCTTTTTCAGATCGCTTCGTAGGTCCTGAAATCTCATATTTTTTCTTTGCCTCTTTAACAATTTTTTTTTTTTTTTTAATTGTCTATTAATCTTGATCATTATTATATATAGAATACCTTTGCAGTTGAAATACCCTTTTGGGTTAACGATTTTTGGTGATTTTGGTGGATTTGTTTTCTAGGCTATTTCATTCCATGAGAGTAGCTTGTCTTAATGAGTCGGATTGCCGGTAAAACACAACCTCCCAAGCGTGGAGCTGAGGGGCGTATAAGTAGAGATGTTGAGCTTAAAGACCATTGTGGGAGCTGTAATGTGTTAGTAACAGATAAAGATAGGGGTATTTAATGTGATTTTTGTCAATTTTGGTTCCATTCTATTTGCCAAAATGTGTCAAATATGATTTTATTAGTGAAGGAAATCCTAACTTACACTGGTACTGTAGAACATGCAATGTTATTGCTGAGGACATGTTAGGTGTTCTGAAATCTGTTAAAGTAAAGCACGAAAAAATTGAGAAGGATGTACTCGAACTAAGGGACGAGTTGAGAGGCAATGAGCATGATAGTGCTAAGCGATGGACATCATTTTCTGAAAAGTTAGAAACACTAAAAACTCAGACGGACCCCAGGGAAATCATAAAATCTTGCATAGAGGAAATTAATGAACGAGATAGAAGAAAAAATAATTTGATTTTCATCGGTATCCCAGAGTCAAAGGATGATGATGGTCATGTTCGTAAAAGAAAAGATTTGGAATATTTAATTAATGTTATTGATAGCTTGGAGGGTGCAGACTTCAAAATTATGGCACAATACTGCCTGGGTAAAAGAGATGGAAAGGATAGACCTCTTAAGGTTGTTTTCAAAAAAATGGAAACTTGTGATAGGATAATGAAAAATGCAAGAGAAAACAAGTTGAAAGATAACGTGCATGTTTCTAGAGATCGAACTCAATCGGAGAGAAAGGAATATAGCGATCTTAGAGTGGTTTTGAAAGAGCGAGAGGAAAAAGGTGAGAAGGATTTGGTAATACAAAATGGAAGAATTGTTAAGCTCCGTTTTCGAATGAAGCCATAAACATCATAGGTTTCAAGAAGAAGTTTTAGTTCATGAAGAGAAGTTTAAAAAGAAAAATTTTAACGATGATTTGATTACATTGAAAAAGGATAAGAATTATTTTTTGTATACAAACTGTGACTCTCTATTAAATAAGAGAGAGGAGTTAAGGTTGAGAATTGATAAAGAAAACCCAGATGTGATTATGTTAACTGAGATGTTACCAAAATCAACCTTCAGTAATTTTCAGAGAGCTGAATTAGAGATTACAGGTTTCCAGTTATTTTTGCCTGAGTATCAAAAAAGAGGTGTTGGAATTTATGTTAATGAAAATGTTTCAGCTTATGTTATTAATATGGGAGATTTTGAAGAATCTGTCTGGGTAGGAATTCAGATTGGAAAAGGAACTATGATTGTTGGTTGTGTCTACAGGAGCCCGAATAGTAGTAGAGAAAATAATAATAAAATCTGTGATATGTTTAGTAGGGCGGATGTCTTGAAATCTGATTACTTTATCGTAGTTGGAGATTTTAATTTTGGAAATATAGATTGGATAGAGTCAGCAGTTCGAGGAGGTGATACGGTAGATAGTGGATTGTTCCTTGGTCTGGTTAATGATTTATTTTGGTTTCAACATGTGAAAGGTCCAACCCGAAATCGTACTGGACAGCAACCTAGCTTACTAAATAGTAGTGGTTAATGGAACTAAATCAGATAGCCAGTTGGTTACTAGTGGTATTCCCCAAGGCAGCGTCCTAGGTCCGTTACTTTTTAATATTTTTATAAATGATCTTCCAGATGGAATTAAATCAGATATAAAAATTTTTGCAGATGATACGATAATTTATAGGAAAGTAAATAATAAGGAAGAGGCCGGTATTTTACAAAATGATATTGACGAGCTTTATAATTGGTCGGTTAAGTGGCAACTACCTTTTAATCTGGATAAATGTAGTGTTATGCATTTTGGCAAAAAGAACTTGGAAACTTTGTTTACGATGGGATATACTAATGATAAGAAGATTCTACATTCAGTGACTAAAATTGTAGACCTGGGGATTCTTATTGATAATAAACTCATCTTTGATTCTCATGTTTCTCAAGTTGCCTTAAAGGCAAATAGAAAACTTGGAATGATAAAGAGGTCTTTTAAATTTTTGGATGGGCGGTCTCTTGTTTATCTATACAAATGTATTGTTAGGCCAAGTTTGGAATACTGCAATCCTGTTTGGCAGTATATATATTTTAAGGAATCGGGTAAATTGGAAAAAATTCAACAACGTGCTTTTTTTGAGCTTGTTAAAGAATCAAAAACTAGAGGTCATAAATTAAAAGTTATTATACCACGTTCAAAACTAAGAGTGTGCCAGAAATTTTTTGCGCATGCTGTATGCAATACTTGGAATAATTTACCAAGCTATATCATAGAGGCAGACACATTAAATCAATTTAAGTCTCGTTTGGAAAAGTGTTGGTGCCGTCATCCGCTGAAGTTTTCCCCATATGAACGTATTGAAGGAGGTTATACTCAGAGGGACACATAAGCTTCTTCTTCAGAAGTCTCGGTATCAAGGTAGATCAAGGTAGGTAGGTAGGTATAGAGGCCATTTTTTTATATAGACCTAGGCTAGGAAGCCTAATTTATATTTTTTGTTACACTTCTTTATTTACAGGTCAGCAAGAAATCCAAACAACTTCTCAGAAGACCAATACCACCACCGCAACCATTACCACCTAAAAAAGTGGAGAGTATACCTGCAAAGAATGTTGCACTTAGCCAACTTGCACATCAGGATTCAAAGTCAAACAGTAGCTCATGCCGGGGTTTATCGCCAATACCAAGTGTTGCACCAACACTTGAATCCTGTTCGGACAATGATATTGAGGGCTTCCAGACACCAGCTAACACACCACGTACAAGACAAAAGAGTCGAAAATCACAGACAAGAAGTCATTCCCCATCCTACTTATACCCATCAGTGAATGCCAATGACTGGAGGTTTATTCTAGAGTCAAGATATCAAAAATGCCGAGATCACTCCAAAATGGAGTCATTCTCTGTTGTGAAGCCTTATAAACCAAGAGGTCCTGATCCATTCCCATTTCGAGAGCCAGTGCGACCAGCTGAAGTTAGAAAAGAACTTTTGTATTCAGACTCTTTTGATATTTATAATTTCAAATTTCCTGAATTTACGTTAAATGACTTTCAGTTTGATATAAATGCTATATACAACATGTCAAAATCCACAATGACTGAAGCTGTATTATCAAAACAAAATTACAAGAAATTAACAACATTGTTTGCAACATTTATTGAAACACCAAGACAAGAGGAAGTGAACACAGTCCAACTAAAAGGTAAGGTACAGTATCATCATAATGCCAATGTGTAAGTTTCCAGACAATTTTCACAATTAGGTAGGAGTTAAATTATTTATGAACAGTCAATAATGTCGAACATACATAATTTTGTTTGCAACATTTATTGAAACACCAAGACACGAGAAAGTGAACACAGTCCAACTAAAAGGTAAGCTTTGATCATAATACCAATGTCTAAGTTTTCAGGCGATTTTCACCATTAGGTGGGAGTTAAATTATTTTATGAACAGTCAATAATGTCAAGCATACATAATTAAATTTTATCAAGGATAATGTCAAGCATACATAATCAAATTTTATCAAGCATTCCTTGATTATACTTGGCTTTAGGTAGTAAATGAAAAAAAAATCTGTAAATTTGCATTCTTATTCATTACCCAGGTGAAGACATTCCTGTAGTCAAACCAAGAATTCCTCAACGGCAATTGTTGGTTGAAATGGCATATATAGTACGTCAACAGATGCGAGACTTAATGAACAATGGTATGCAGATAGGTATGGCTGACATCAGAAGTCTATCCTCAAATGCCCAATTGTCTCCGCTAAGAAAAGACAAAATGGGCAAGCGAACGCAGAAGAAGGAGTAAGGCAAATTCATTTGAATATTCTAAATAATAATAAGGGACAGAACTATACGATGCTCTATAAATTTGCAGGAAATATTGAATATGGAGACAAGGTGAAAGTGTGTAAAAATAAAGTTGTAACTTGAAAGCATGCTGAAGATTTATTAAGGTTGAGAACTGTTATAGAAAATATCAATTTATGTTTAGAGTCATACCTCAAAAAATCTTAAAAAAAAAAAAAAAAAAATGCATTTGCTCCATAAACAGATAAAATATTATTTGCTTCCTACAGGACAAATGAAAAAATGTCCTTGTTTTCATTTGCAATTGTGAGCCTATTATTTCTTTATTATTTTGTAAGCAATGTAAGTATTTAATTTTTTTGCTCAACACAGTTAGTATATTTTTGGAAGACTTTTTGGAAAACGACCAATAGAGATTGTTTATTTTTTTTTGTTTATTTTTTTATTTACTGTATTGTATTGTTATGTTTTAATTTCTTTCCTGACTTTATATTAAAAATTTCAGTCATTAGAAACATGTCAAAAAGCTTGGTTTTTTAAAATTGACATGTCATCTTGAATATACTTTGTCTGTGCCTATCTGTTTTAAATGTGAGGAATTTTAATATCATTTAGTCATTATTTTTAAATTCCTTTTTTTTTGTAAATTGTATTGTTTTTCCAGATCAGACATGTATTGTGCAAATGAAGCCATCTTCACGATGCCTGTTGCTAAATATTTTCAAGGTGCTAAACGAAATAAGTCTCCATTTAGTAAGTTCATTTTGTAGATGCATTTGATCTTGTTTACGATGCCATTCTGGTGTGGTGTTGTACCCATGACGACTACTGAGTCATGGCGACTATTATCTGTAATTCTGTTATTGCTGCAGACATTACATGTTAATGCTTTATTTAAAAAAGATTATTCCTAGAATATTCTAAGAACTGCGATAGTTTTAAAAATATGCTTTTAGCTGGGCACTCACTGTGTCGTATGATGACCTTACAACTGCCATATGAGGAATCCAACTCAACTTCCCTGTGAGCGCTAGACAACACGAGGCCATCTGCTGATTGTCTGTGGCAGTCTAAACGGATTGTCATTAAGAACGATCCAATAGACCTACGGCGGCCGACGACCATCAGGCGTACTGGGGGCCTGGCTTATACCATATTTCTTTCAACACAAAGATATTATGCAGGAAGTGTAATTCCCCCTAACATTATGTAATAGTCAACTCACCACTGAAAATATCTGCATAATCAGACAAAGCCTTATAAGGGAAATTAGCATTGCCAGTTTTATTTGGTAGATAACCCTCAACAAATATTAATGTCATATTTACAGTACAAAAAAATGATGGGAATGCATGTTTATTAACTAAATAACACATCTTTCTGCAAAACTTTCTGTCACATCACCTTACAGTAAGTTAATTTTTATCAGTATAATTATGCAAATAATATTTTATTTTTTTCTTGTCCTTGCTTATCAGATGAAATTTCTAAGAAGGAAGGTAATGTTTATGCTGTTGCACAGTTGGTTTAGATTTTGTGTGTAGTTTTTCTGTATATGCACTGCTAAGGTTTTCAACTAGTTGTATTGTATTTAATTAGAAATGTATAATAGTGGCTGAATAACTTAATTTATAGTAATATTAAAACTTATTCTGTAGATTTATGTTGATATTATGTTCATGTATTTTCAATATTGCCATATTTTATCATTGTCATGTCTTTCAGCTCAAATAAAATATTTGATTTCAAATACTTTAATAATATTTTATTTGAGTTGAAAGACCATGCATGTACTGGACTGTAGTAATGCTGGATTATGCCCATCTCTTTCATAATGGGTTATGAAGAATATGGAGTCATATTCATCCTGCAAAATTATTTAAAAATGGTAAATTTTGAAGAAACATGTGGTTGCATATAACTTGCAGCTGTTTACCTCCACCCACTAATGCATGATGGGTCTCGTTACAACAGGTAGACACCATTTATTACTATAGATAAGCATATGTTTGTAGTGTGATAGTTGTAGCTGCATATCTTTTTTAGCATGTTTATGGTTAAACACCATTATAGTATGCAACAAAAATCAATGAATGCAAGTCTCTTCAATTTGTACTATATAGCACTGCTAATGATGCTAAATGTGTCAAAATTAACAACTAACACTCTCATAATAAGAAATGTTATCAACACATCAATACTACCATTGTCTGTTTCTGTTGCACTCTTGTGAGGTAGTAGACAGTATGCTAAAGAATTAAAAAAGGTCATGCTAATTTGACTTCTTAATCCAGTTACTTTGGGTGACAAATAGTCATGATGGAGGCGTGTAGTCACACGAAATATGCCTCATGCCAGTTCCAACAATGCCAGTTGGAGCAGTTACCAATTTAAGTGAATTTTATTTCTTAGCATACACGATACAATTTAGGAGGAATGAAAAATTGTGTTAATAAAGACAAATTGTTCCTGGACAGGATTTCAAGCCATGTTCCTGGGATGGCAATGTGATGTAGACTTTACAAGCCATTCTTCATCTCTTCCCCACTTTTTGCATTATATGACAAAATAATGCATTTCATGTATTCACTACATTTTGCATGACTTTTGCTCACACGATTTGTGACTTTTGAAGTATCAACTAAAATAATACTGCTAAAAAATTGCTATTGATAATAATAATTTTTTTAAATATTGATGCAGCTGACTTTGACCCATCTTCCACAATAACACCCGCCGAGCTTGCTATTTTGGATTGCCTGGTAAATGGGGGTCTGGCATTGAGTTTGAAGGTATGTAACTAATTGTGCCAAAGACAAGCCAAACGAGTCACTCTTCGCAAAAATTGATTTTTAATTATTAATATGGTTAAAGATGAAAAGAGAGCTATGAAAATAATGGTAAAAAAATCATTTAAATATAATATTTTCTTATGAAGTTACAAGCATTTAAACATATAGCTGTTTATAGAACAATATTTGAGAAATCAGCCTTCAAAGTTTATGATTTCGGGTATTTCTCAGGCAGAAACCATCGTCAAATTGTTAAAAATTGTTGTTTTAGGGGAAAATAACAGCATACCATGATGTACAGATATATAAAGGTTAGTTTAGTCCAATAAAAATAGATTTCAAAAATTTTGACATTTCAGCATGTTTTTACCATTATCCCTGAAACACGATTTGCGACGAGTGACTGGTTTGGCTTGTCTTTGCCACAATTATTGTTCTTTCTTTTTAAACCACAATCATTTAAAATGTATAGGCTAAGATAGTAAGACCTGAATTTTGGGCTGAATACACCTTGTGAACTGAGTGCAAGATTTTAATCTGTCCTAGTGTCACATTAATGTTGACTAATCAAAATTTACCTAGTATGAAGATTTCATTAAAAAAAAATATACATTTTAGAAGACATAACATTATTTGTTACTTTGTGTAAATGAGTACTAGAACATATAGTGGGCGCACGACCAGAATATATTATTTGTTACTTTGTCTCTTACAGAGTACTAAATTGGTTGGCTTTACTTTTGGTTATTGCTAAATTTGTAAATATAAAATGTATATTTTGTTATATTATTTTAAGTAAGTAGTTATTACATGCTAAAATGGAATACTATTGATAGTAATAAAAAAACAGAAAGTACACAACTATTTGGTCACTGAACAGAACAGTTTCATTATGTGAAGCAGTCTAATACCTTATTTTATTTATTTTATTTTAAAAATGGAAGACCACTATGTTGGCTGAAACACATTTTAATTAAAACTTTCTTTTAATTCTTCAAGGCTCATTTCATCTCAGAGCTACCAGAGATAACCCCACTAATGAGATCGCTAACGTACCTAAACCTTTCTTTCAATGATTTCTGGGTAAGTTATTTATAAAAATGCAAAATAGCATTAGTCAATGTCTTTGTTATTTTTGCTGTCTATATTTATTTTGTTGAAGTAGTCTTTAAAACAGATAATAAAAAAGTGCATATTTTTGTGTCAAAATCATTACTTTGATGCACTTTTTTCATTGCTATTTTCATTTATATTTTATGTTTTTTATTTTTCTACCAATTTTTGCTGTCTATATTTATTTTGTTGTTGTATATATAATTATTTATTCTTTCATTGTTAAAAAGGAACAGGAAACATGTGCACATAAGATTGAAGCATAAAAACAGAAAGTAGTCTTTAAAACAGATAATAAAAAAGTGCATATTTTTGTGTCAACAGTCATTACTTTGATGTACTTTTTTCATTGCTATTTTCATTTTTATTTTATGTTTTTTATTTGTTCATGTACATATTGGAGTTGAGCGTTTGACTGAGATCTACTGTTCCTGCTTCTTTTGTTGAAGACCATCAAATTTTAATGGCTCGGCTACTCAAATAACTCTCACATGAGAGTTAAGTGAGACAGGGGACATGGGATCTACTGTTCCTGCTTCTTTTGTTGAAGACCGTAAAATTTTAATTTGAGTCAATAGCTCGGCTCCTCAAATAACTCTCACATGAGAGTTGAGTGAGACAGGGGACATGCTACTGGCGCCTCATTATGGCCACTGCATTATGACAACTATAAATTAAATATTTTTTAAAGAATGTGCAGAAGTCATGATGTACTACCTAGTTTAGCTGTTCATCGCTCAATTACATACTTTTGAAATTCTTAATAATTTATTGTAGAGTATTAGATACTTCGTTATATTTTTTATTTCAATGTAATAGGATTTGCCTCCTGAGATATTAAACTTGAAGCAGCTTGAAGTTCTTAAGATGCGTAATAATCCAATCAAAGAGCTCCCTCAAGATATTTATAAATTGAAGAAACTAAGGACTCTTGTTGTCTCGTTCTGTCTCATTTCATCATTACCAATGAGGTAAGACAAAAAAGATATTAATATGATAATGGAATAAACTGCATTTCACAGACACAAGTCCAATGAAATCTTGTGATGAAGGTTGTTGAACTAGCAGTGTAAAGCCATTATATTAATCATAAAAAGTAATGGAAAAGGCACAAAGAAGAAAAGTGCTAAAAAAATATTTTTGGAGAAACATGAAATTCTAATAGTGTGACACAGCAGATATTGAAAATACCGGTGACAATGCCTTATAATATTTATTTTGGCCATTCTCCATTCACATACGTCTTTATTATCGCTTCTATTTTTTTTATTACATTATTGTATACTTTGTGTCTGGAAAAGTAATAAAACTAACAGTGGAGAAATTTTACAAATGATGCACACTAGATTCAAAGACCGACGTTAATAATGATCAAATAGTGATGATGATGATGACAGTGATGGTGGGAGTGATGAAGACCTCTAAAATATTACATCAACTTGGCAATTAAAACATCTTTAACTTTTGACTGCCAAAGAGTGTTGCCAAAGTGCGAGCCAGCATGTTATTTGATCACAAGTGAGAGACATCGCAAGTGTGAGCCAGCGAGCCATGACGTCACGACAATAGATACGAGACGTTACTCGAGTTGTGCGAGGTATCGGCTGAGATTTGTGGAGTACAATTCAAAAAACAACTATAGGTCTAATAATGAATTATTGTGATGTTAAATAGACAATGTTAGCTATCAAGGAGCAACGTTGTTTTTCATTGGGACCTTCGTCCCATCAAGGCTAGGCCTATACCATCCTAGCTAGTCTAGGCCTAGAGTAGGATAAGGCTAGCGCGACATGCGGACGTTGGTACGTGTTGGTTAGTCTACAAACGTCGCCTAAATAATTGATTTTACCCGGCAGAACGAAAGAAGGAAACTCCGCTTTTCAGTCGTCTTAGGCCCCTATTTTTTGACAAACAATGACCTTTCAGAGGTCAAATTGCTGTTAAGAATATGAATTGGCTGCTTCGCAGCAATAATTTTGTTGTAAAGTGATTATAGGAAACTTTTTCTTTTCCTTTAGTTTATACACACTTCCTCTGCAGTTCCTTGATTTATCATACAACAGGATATCTTACCTACCAAATGAACTTAAACAACTGAAGTAAGTATCTTACCAGTCTCTATTTAAGAGTGAAAATCTTCAATACTTAAAAAAATGGATCTATTCAACTGAAACTTGAAAAATAAAATGAAACTTGAAAAGTAAAACTTCTAGAAATGGGAACCCTTACTAACCAATGCAATATAAAGACAGGTTACTCTGCGATTAGCCCAGCGTCTGGCTCGGCCGCTGGACTGATCGCACCTGTGTGGTTCATTAATACAAATAAGAGATTTTTAAAAAGGAAAAATCCTTAAACACCTGTAATGAGTGTTTTTTGTCTTATTTTGCTTCATTATAAATGTAGCAATAAATAAAACAATTATTGAGAGCCATCCTCTACTGTAACCATTTGAAGTTGTGTTACCTATAATGAAATAAGGAGTGGGTTGTTTTTTTTTAGTTTTTTAACTGAAATCACCCCAAACAAGGCTCGAAAGCCATTTCTAGGTTGTGAAGACACTTCACTGGCTACATATGTCAACAATGCATGTTAGGGTGTCTAAGGATGGCCCGAGATTGGACAGTGTGTGGTTTGAACTCCTGACCACAAGTTCAACAAACAGAATGGAAACCACTAAGCCAAACTGCTGTAATTTGTATATGTAGAAAATTTAGTTTGTTTAATTTTGACAAACTTCAGGCAATTGCGAGCATTGAATGTAGAAGGTAACCAACTAGCTGCCCTGCCGGCTGGTTCTTTGAAGCTGAGCAATTTGTACCATCTCAGGGTAAAAAATAACTACATGCATCCTTACCTGTGGTTTGAAAACAGCACAAATAACCCACAGGTAAGTGCCTATGTTGGAGATATTAATAGGTTTCTGTTTTTTTTCAAGATTTTATTAATAAGCAGTAGTTGTTTGCTTTTGGTTCATGGTTTTATATATTCATTTAGATTGATACTTACAATGTAAATTAAGCATAATTTTTAAAATCTGAGTACTGTATTAATAAGTAAAAATGCATATAACCTAACTGTGATAATACTGAAAGAAAATTCTATTAAGGAATGTAAATGAATCATTAAAATGCTCACTTAAAAATGATCAAAAAATTTATTTTTTTATAATGTATTTTACGATAACGATAACACGTCAGGTAGGGCAAAACATCATTGCTATGGAATTTCCTGATGCAAAACAACATTAAAATTGATTTGTGTTAACATAGGCAATGTATATGTATTCTTCACAGCGGCTATCTGATATGTCTGCATTAGTTCTGAAGCAACACGAGTTGGAAAATGCATATGTGGACCTGTCTGTGGACTTGCAGATGATACTTAACAGGTCAGTACTATTGAAAGTGAACCACATTCTTACAAAATTTGTGCGAGGACCCATTGCAGATTGGTCAGAAATTATGAATGTAAATGAGACTATGTGCTATCACACTTCACCTTATAAATTTACATTTTTAACAAGCATTGAAGTCTGTGAGTCAAGCATTAAGTATGTCATCTCAGGCTATGTTCACACACGCGGCTAAAAGTGGAGTGGCTTACGCCAGGCCTTAGATATTCAGTGCATTGCTTTAAAATAAACAGTTGTATTTAATCATAGCACCCCTCAAATAAACCCTGTTCAGAGCTTCAACTGAAGTATGCACTCTTCAGAATCAGAATAACTTTATTATCACCAAATGAAGAAATTGAATGCTCGATAAAATTTAAAATCTTGCATATAAAATTTCAAGTATAAGTACAATAAAAAGTACATCACTAATTCAAAACATCAGATACAAAATACTAAAACATCAAAAATCGAACACAAAAAAGAATGGAAAGACATTAAAAATACATTTTTATCCCGGTAATGGTTGGAGTCTTGAGCTTACTACTCATACGAATAAGTGACACTGCTTATTTGTACTGTATTTCAGTTTATGTTTTAATCTGTTGTTATAATAATGTCATAAAATGACCTTCCTATATGTATTACAACATGTCGTAAGCCATAGCATATATTGTACTGGATTACCAAATTTAAACACTTGGAGTATAATATCTATAATTACCAATACCTAAAAGTGAAAATTCATATTTTTTTTTTCAGTTACACTACTTGTGATTGTTGCCAGGGACCATTATACGGATCTGGCCTGCGACTTATACGACCATGCCGCAAAGCCTTTGGTGTCAAGAGACTGCCATTCTACTTTTTGTCGTGCTCCCCTCGCTGCAGAGACTTCTTTATGTCAAATGTTGAGTCATTATCAGAGATATTATATAATGAAGAGCCTGAATAGACAGTGGGCACTTATTGTGGTGTACTCTTGATGCTTATAGAATAAATAATACAGTAATATGAAATTTATTAGTTTCTTGTTTATCTATTTAGATTGTATAACTATATTTATATTGAGGCAGCAAGAGCAAAATATAATGAAACTCATATTTTTTGTTTGTCTAAATGAGACATGTTGTGGCAAAATGGTAAAGTTGTCACACAGTCCAGTATTGAGTAAATGAGCTATAAAATATGGGAGTTCAAAAAATTGCTAAAAATCCAAATTTGTTTAGGTCAACAGTTTAATGCCTTATTGATCATGTCCCAAAGTATTAGTTCTGGAAGTGGTTAACAAATGTTTATTTATTGTTATCTTTCATAGTTCATTCTATTAAACAACGTATGCACAAATAACTTTGAAAGGCAATTACTCAAAATCATATTTATCTTGATTCTAAGAGTACTGTACTTTCACTTTCCAATAACTTGGAAGGCTTGAAATGTCCAATTTGAATGAATGACCCCTCATTTTAAAGATCACATACTCAGGTATCTAAAAATACCAATAACTTGAATTTCAATTTTTGCTACAACTTAGTCATTTTGCCACAACATGCCTCATATATGAAGTGTTTGTCTTTTCTTACAAGACAGCGCATTTATTTATTTATGTCAGCTTAAAAAGGTATTGTCCATTCATCCATCGTTTGTTGACTTATTGAAAAAATGAAAGTATTTGCTATTTTTTGTTTTATATGTAAATAATAGTATTGTACTGTTGATTATGAATAATGCTTGCTTTGTTCATTAAAATATCCAGATCAATATCTTAAATCAATTTCACTGTTTTTAAGTGTTATTATCGGGCATAATCTCGAAAGAAGCGCCCCCACCTCTTTAATTTACAAACTAATCTCGAAAGGAGGCTCATCTCGAAAAGAAACCCATGGGCTTCTAATCAAGATAGTATGGGTTTCTTCTC